CTGGCCTCATAGCAGAGGGGCTCCAGCCCTCGGATCATTTTAGTAGCCCTCCTCTGGCCCCGCTCCAACAGCTCCATGTCCTTCTTGTGCTGAGGGCTCCAGAGCTGGATGCAGGGCTCCAGGTGAGGTCTCACCAGAGCAGAGCAGAGGGGCAGAATCCCCTCCCTCACCGCTGGCCACGCTTCTCCCGATGCAGCCCAGGGTAGGGTTGGGCCTTCTGGGCTGCCAGCACCCATGGCCGGCTCATGTCCAGCTTTTCATCCCCCAGCACCCCCAAGTCCCTCTGGGCAGGGCTGCTCTCCATCCTTTCATTACGCTGTTGATCAGAATGACTGCTTTGTCCTCCTCTAATAGGGAAAACGGGCAGGCATGGCAGCAGCACTGAGCCACGGAGGCTGAGGGGACAGGGTTTGGGGTGAAGGTGGCTGCAGCAGCTCAGCTCTTCAGAGCAGAGCACAGTTTCAGGCAGCCCCCATCTTCATCCCTCCCTGCTCCTTCCTCCAGGCCTCTGCATCCCCCTGCTTCCCCCCACATCCCCCCGCATCCCCTTGCATCTGGACTCAGGCAGGCGCCAGTCGGGGGAATCCTGACGAGCCCTCCGTCATACGCAAGTGTTATCCAGACACATTGGGGCATTCAGGACTTTGTAGTGAAGTTGGCAGCAAAGAGAAGAACCACACATTCCCACCATGGTGCTACAGTCAGCAAACAATTTCTTCCTACCTTTTGCGGTTTAAGACAAAAAAAAAAAAAAATAGAGAGACCCACCTCTTCTAGAGCAAAGCTTGAAAATGTTACACCTGAAGGAAATTAATGGGAAGATTTGGCAAGTGATCTAGCAAGAGAATGAGAACAAACATTTCCAACAGGTGCTTCAGATTTCATTGACAAAAATAACAGCCAAGGAGAAACCCCCTCTGCCAGGTCCCACTGTGTGTTCGAGTTAACCACAGTTCCTCCAGAACAACAGTTTCAGTGCGTCCCTCACCACGGTTCTGCCCCACATGACAGCC